GTGAAAGAGTTATAAGACAAATCCAAAGTATTTGAAAAGGAAGGAATGAGAAAAATTTCTCTCGGAATCCAACCAGTTAGATTATTATGACTAAGATCCAAAAAAGTGAGATGCTGGAGATTTTTTATGCTTGAAGGTATAGGGCCTCTTAATTGATTAGATCCTAACTTCAACTCACTAAGTCTTGTGATATTTTCTAAGGAGTAAGGAATAATTCCCGTAAGATCATTCCCAAACAAATATAAACCTTCTAGCCTTCCAAGCATTCTAGCCTTCCGCATGTAGCCTTCCAAGCATTCCAATGGTCTCGGGTATAGAACCTTCCAGAAGATTATTTTCCATCCCTAAGGCAATTAGATTGCTGTACCTATCAAGTTCAAAAGGGATTCTTCCTAAAATGTGATTATATCCTAATTTTATTCGTTGAAGCTCCATGGAGAGGTTCCCAAATGATTTGGGTAGCCTTCCACGGAGGTTATTACCAGAAAGTCCTAAAGTTTGTAAAATGGTGCAATTTGTTAATGAATTAAGAAATCTCCATTCCTTTTCATCATTTGCTTCAAATTGGTTTTCTCCCATATTGAGGTATACAAGATTGTACATTTTTCCAAGGTCTGGTGGCACCACTCCTGTAAAATTATTTTTGCTAACTTCCAAAAGGACTAAGCTGGTCACATTTTGAAGAGCTTGATCAAGTGAACCAACGAAATTATTTACACCAATAAGAAAGGCTTGAAGGTTTGGAAAAGCTTGGGCTATATTGGTTGAGATGTAACCAGAGAGGCGATTTTTTGTCACCGTAACGATCTGCAGAGATGATAGGTTGTAGAATGAAGTATTAACAGCTACATTAAAATGTTTCAACTTTTGAAGAACACCAATCTCTGGTGGGATGCCTCCCTCTAGATGGTTATATTTGGCAAAAAAAACTTTCCAAGAACGATAGATTGGTAAGTGAAGTTGGGATGGTGCCGATAATATTGTTTTCATTGAGATTGAGGTATTTGAGTGGCGACATGGAGTTTATAACATGAGGCATTTTTCCTGTGATCATATGGTTGCTATTAAGGTCCAGAACTTGGAGAACAGAGCTATGGTTCATCGTCAGAATATCATGAATGTCTCCATCAAATGAGTTAAAGCTCAAGTTAAGATGTTGTAGTCGTGGTAAGCAAGCCAGAATTTGAGGGATATCGCCATAGAGCTCGTTGAGGCTGAGATCAAGCCTTCTCAGGAAGGTGAGATTGAATATGGAAGGAGGAAGAGGACCGGCCAACCCGACGGAATGGAGATCCAAGGCTGTGACTCTGTCGCGGTGCTTGAAGCCGCACGTGACCCCTTCCCATGAGCAAAAGTGGTTGGTGACATTCCAAGAGCTCGCAAAAATGGTAGAAGAATTCATATTGCTTTGCTTTAGAAATAGATTCTTGAATGCAATGAGTGATTCGTAGTCTGTATTATTTCTTCCAACTGCGAACAATTGTTTGGCAGATAAACAGACAGACAAGAGGATAATTAAGAGTCTGCTGACACTAATAATTCTCACCATTTAATAGCAGTGATATATGCCAAGAAACTAAGGATCTAACAAGAGAAAGAGAGCTACTTCGCCATCTCTGCCATTTTGAATTTATAAAAAGAAGGGATAATTGCACACATAGTACTTGAAACACTGTTAATCACAAAACTAGTGGAATTTCAGTCAATCACATAATTAATGCATTTTGGTAGTCACGATATGTTAAGTTTCTTTCTTGGCCGTTTCAGAAAGAAATGATGGTGATCTACATTCCTTTTTATATTGTTTTATGAAGAAATAAAAATTGTCCTTTTTTTTTGCTTCTTATATATTAATCATTCCATATAATTTTTAAGATATGTTATTAATAATGATTAACAATATAAATTTATACAAGAAGCAAATTTCATCAATTTCTATGATAATTTATTTATTCATCAAACATGAAAAAATTACCAATGATCAAGCATTGAATAATTTACCATTTTAAAATACTAGTTTTGTTAATAAATAACTGTCACCAATTAGAATCATCCAATGCATGCAATGCAATAGATCACCAATAACTCAAACATTAATTAAGATTTTCTGCTTTGAAATCATAATTTGAGCCTTCAGCATGCAGATCAGAGCACATGAGGTTAATTTGATTTATTCTAGGCCTAACCGCACAACATTCTCAAACAGTGTGCACATTTCTTAAAGCACCAGTATAATCGAATTTCACATTTTGCTGCATTTGAAGGGTGTTAGTGCATATATTTTAGAATGTTTTAATGAATGATGAATATTTGGTCTTTACAGGTCTTTAGAGGTGCTTTCAAAGTTTGGGTGGTCTTAAATTAATGCATTTCTATTATTTATATTGACTGAGAAAGATATACGACGACTTCTCAATCAACCAAAGATTTAGTGCAAATGACTAATGACTTCATGTCTCAGATGAGGTGACTGATTTTTTGTTTTCATATCTATCATTCCATAAAATTTTTAAATTTAACAAATATTATTAATCATGATGAACAATACAATATTTATACGATAATCAAATTTCATCTATTTCTATGACATTTTGTTTATTAATCGAATATGTGAAAATTTTAAGAATGATCAAACACTATATAAATACATTTTTAAAATTGCTGATCTTATTCATATGTTTGATCACCAATTAGAATCATCCAATGCATGCAAAAAATATCCGACGACTCTTGAGTCAACAGAGTTGATGTAGTTGTGGAATTCGAATGCAGTTTACTTCACTTCAAACTTACATGCATGCCACCCAATTCCTATGTATCTACATTTCTAACATCTAAACTTCTACATTTTTTTTTTATATATATACCACCCAAAGTTTAGTATCATATAAAAATATCACAATTATAATTTTCAGAAATTGAAATACACCTTTTCAAGCATATGTAAAAAAGTCATGCAAGTAAAATTTGTTGTTTAGGTTTTAGATATGTAAATACATTGGAATTCTGTGGTATGTATGTAAATCTTTCAAGATATTTATTGCAGTCGAGCACGTCTCCCATGGAATCCGCATTAAACATAATGTTTTTAAAAGGAAAATGCTTTCGGTCATTTCCAACAAATGACTTGTTCTAGACATCTCTTAACCATACATTTCGAGCAAGTTGAATGTCCACTTGCATCTGCTTCTAGAAAGCGATGGTATCGACATTAATTGTTGTATAAGAAAGTAATGCCCACTTGCATCTTATGGAATCTGTTTCTTAATACCAATAAAATCTCTTGCCAAATCAAGATGAGTTTTGTTTGATGTCAGAAAATTTGCAGTAATTGAATGAAAGAGTTAAACATTTAATTTTGTATGTTGCCCTTGCTTGCTATTGCCTACAAACTCCGCTAGCTAACAAAATATTCCAAATACAGTGTAATAATGTATTCTAAATGTGGTGTAATAAATAACACTGCATTGAAGTCTCAGTGATAACCTCCAGCCTCCGTAGCCATTGAACATTATCAACCAATGCCAACCACCCCTGCTTGCCGCTATCGATAAACTGTTCAAGCTAAGGAAATGTCATGAATATGATATAACAAATAATTTTATATTCAAGATATGGTGATAACTCTTTGTGACAACTTCTTACAACCTTAGTATTCAAAATATAACGACTTTATCAGGAATGCTAAAGTTTTATATACATCCTATACTAACAAGCCTTTTCATCGTATAAAATAACAAACCCGAGAGAAGGGTTGCAGCTACCAATCGGTGGAGCGCCAACAATGACTTATTTGACAAGTTACTACTGCAGCTTCCAACTACGAACTATGTAGCTAATTGTTATTGCAACTATCAACCATGATCTACGTGACCAACTACGACCTATGTAGCTAATTGTTACTATAACCACCATCTACAACCTATATGACTAACTGCTACTATAGCTTCCAACCGTGACCTATGTGACTAGCTATAACCTATGTAACAAATTGCTACTACAAATTTTAGTTATGTCTTATATGTCTAACTGTTGCTGCTAATACCATCCATGATCTATGTGATCAACTATAACTTATGTAGCTAATTACTACCACATCTTCCAATTACATTTTATGTGGTTAACTGCTATTACACCTATCAACCAAGGTCTATGTGACCAACTATGACTAATGTATTTAACTGCTAGTGTATCTTTCAACTAAAACATATATGACTAATTGCTATTGCAGCTACCAAACAACGCTTGTGCGACTAATTGAAACATATGCAGTTAGCTGCTACTATAAATTTCAACTACGGTCTTTGGGGACAATTGATGCTACTTTAGCTACCAACCACGACCTATGTGACTACGGTCTATGTGGCGAATTGCTGCTACAATTTTCAACTATGACATATGTTTTTTGTTCTTTTTCTCTTTTTTCAGGAGTCGTCAACTTGTCTATTTTCGAGTAAATCTCTCTTCTGAATCCTATGGATCATCTGGAGAAGAGAGGAATCAGAAAATAAGGAACGCGCAACAAACGTAGACAAACAAGACAAAGAATGTGGAGACGTTCATAAAGTAAACTTTGTGTGGTATCCCAAGGGCATACGTCCAAAGCGAGTCGGATCGAAAATGCATTGGAACATATCCGCAAAGAAGATCTTATGAAAGAAACCCACAACCAGAGAGTCCAGTGTATGTGCTTGTTCCGCGGTCAATGAGCAAGCCTCAAAGGAACACATCCATTTGGCAAATTACATATTAGGGGACGCCTAAAAATACTCTTGATTAATGCAATCTGCTTACACTTACGTGACAACTATTAAAGGATGTCATAAAGGATGGTTATTTTACAGGAGCATCTCGATGCTTTCAAAGCTCTCTCTAAGCCACAGGACAGAGAGCGAGTCTCTCACATCCTAAATGGGTAGCAGCTTATTAGCAATTGAGGCCTACGAAATAACCAGGTCGAATCGTAGGGTCTACACTATGCTTCCAAGGCTTAATTGGGTTGTAAGGGTAGAGGGTTAAAAATATCACGACTACTATCCTTTTAAAAATGAAATACATCTTTTCTGGCATAAGTTTATAGCACCAATATGCTAGTATGTGGAAGCACCAATATGTTATAACCATAACCATCAAAATTTGGGTGTTACATATGTAAATAATTAAGTATTATGTGGTATGTATGAAAATTTCCCGATGCCAAGGAAATTAATGATCTATCTAATAAGAAAGTGAGGGAAAACAACGAAGCATTCCTTCACGAATTTGTAATAAAAAAAACTGTTGCTTCTTTAAACAATTGAATTTATTTTAAATTCAAAACTTATTTCACACATTTCCCCCATGAAATATCAAATAAATTGAGACTAAAAATTTTTAAACCATTTTGTTTCTAAATTAGTTGAAAAATTACCTTAAATTAAAGCCATGAAATATCTGGCATATAACTCTTTTAAAAATTATTTACAATTTATTATTATTTTTAAGAGGAAAATATTTTTTTTTTTGAAAATCCAAGTTCATTGTAGATATTTTTTTATAATAGTTGAAGGCAATATTTCCAAGTTTTTTATAAAAAGAAATTGCAAGACAATGATAAATTAAGCCTTGTCTATCCACATGCATCTTCCTACATATATTTCATCAAATACTAAATATAGTACTAAAAACACAAACAACTAAAAGTTGTTGCATCCACATACTAACTTTTCTTTCAACAACATATCATTTTCATCAAATTAAAGGCATGTAAGAAACTTCAATCGCATGTAACTTTGCAGTAACATCTTTCATGGAAGGCCTTTCTTTTGGAGATGAAACTGAGCAAGAGAGACCTAATTCTATCAAGGAAAGCAAGCATTTGTTGATGCTTTGGCAACTAAACCATGTTGGTTGTTCTCCACCCGCTTTGCTAGCATCTCTTTGCTCTTTTGTAAACATTTTAAGATCTACTATGTCATTGATTCCATGTGGAAGTTTCCTTTTAATGTGATTATGTAGAGTTAAGTTATCATTAAAAACATCATCGGTAGGCCTTGTTCTAGTCAACATCTCTAGTAATACTATTCCAAAACTATAAACATCTGCAGATGGAGACAGGGAAGCTACTTCACCATTCTCTGTAGATAAAATATAAATATATGATTTAAGAAAATATTTCCTTAAAATACCATAAATCTTTTAGAGAAAATGACATGATTAATTTTAACTTAATCATTACATCACCTGGGGCAATATAGCCAATAGTTCCTTTAATGCCACTTTGGTTGGAAGAAGCTTGAAGAGATATATTCACATTCTCATAAAGCATTCTTGAGAGTCCAAAATCACCCACATGTGCAATAAGGTTATTGTCAAGTAAAATGTTACTTGGCTTTATGTCACAGTGAATGATTGGTGGTTCACAACTATGATGAAGATACTCCAAAGCTTCTGCAACATTGATGGCAATACTTAATCTTTTTTCCAAAGAGAGAACAACATCTTCATCAATCTCATATTCTTGGTGGAGGTGTGTGTCTAAGTTTCCCTTTGGCATGAATTCAAAGATCAAAGCTTTAAACTCATTGCCTTGAATATCTAAGCTCGAGCAAGAACTTAGGACTCGTACAAGATTACGATGACGTATGCTTCTTAATGCATCACATTCATATGTAAAACTCTTCAAAGCTCCATGAACCTCAAGATTAAATACTTTAATAGCCACAGTAGCATCATAATCACTTAAATTGCCTGCAAAAACAGAGCCATATCTTCCACATCCTACTAGGTGTGTAGTGGAGAAAGAATTTGTAGCTTCAACTAATTGTGCATAAGAAATTTTGGGAAATGGAGGGCTTAAAGATAAACCAGATGCATTTCTTAAATCATTTTTCTTTTTTCTTCTATAAAGCAAAGTATAGTACAACAAAAGGATGAATAACAAAACTACAATGCTAAGAATAGGGGATAAAATTTTGATTAAATAATGTGGTTTTTTTGACGATGATTTATCAACACATTTTGGCAAATGAAGTGTTAGAATTCCACCACATAGTTTTTCATTTCCAACGAGAGATATTTCTGAGGAATTTGCAAAGACACCTTCATATGGCACCTCACCTTCAAGATTATTAAATGATAGATTCAAATTCCTTAGAAATGTAAGTTTTTGTAGAAATTGAGGAATAGCGCCTGATAAATTATTATGGGAAAGGTCTAGTATTTCAAGACTCTTTACACTACCTAGAGAAATAGGGATGGGGCCTTGGAAAAAGTTGTATTCCGTATTCAATTCAAGCAACGATTGACAACTTCCAAGTGTTTTTGGAATTTCTCCTCTCAAATTATTATTAGAAAAATCAAGGTAGAGAAGATTTATTAGATGACCAACTTCTAATGGTAGAGACCCAGTCAAAGAGTTGTAAGACACATCTAAAATAATTGAAAGAGAAGGAATCAAAAAAATTTCTCTCGGAATCCAGCCAGTTAGATTATTATGACCAAGATACAACCAATTGAGAAGCTGGAGGCTTTTTAGGCATGAAGGTATATGCCCTGTTAATTGATTAGATCCTAAATCCAACTTGTTAAGTCTTGTAAGATTTTCTAAGGAGTTAGGAATACTTCCAGTAAGATCATTCCCATAAAAAGTTAAAATTTGTAGCCTTCCAAGCATTCTAATGGTCTCGGGTATAGAACCTTCCAAATGGTTTCTCTCCATCCCTAAACCAATTAGATTGGTGTACCTATCAAGTTCAAAAGGGATTCTTCCTAAAATGTGATTAGATCCTAATGTTATTTCTTGAAGCTCAATGGAGAGGTTCCCAAATGATTTCGGAAGCCTTCCACGGAGTTTATTATGATCAAGACCTAAAAATTGTAAATTGGTGCAATTTGTCAATGAATCAAGAAATCTCCAATCTGTTGCATCATTTGCTTCAAGTTGGTTATATGCCAGATTGAGTCGTATAAGATTATACATTTTTCCAAGGTCTGGAGGCATCATTCCTATGAAATTATTTTCGCTAATGTCCAAAACGACTAAGCTGGACACATTTTGAAGAGCTTGATCAAGTGAACCAATGAAATTATTTTCAGCAAAAGAAAAGAATTCAAGGTTTGGAAATGCTTGGGCAATATTAGCTGAAATGAAACCTGAGAGGTTATTATTTGCTACTGAAACTTCGCGCAACGATGACATGTTGTAGAATGAAGAAGGAATGTTACCTGAAAGTTTATTATTAAACACATAAAAGTCTTTTAACTTATGAAGAACACCAATCTCTGGAGGGATGCCTCCCTCTAGATGGTTATCATTAGCATAAAAACTTTCCAAGAAGGATAGATTTGTAAGTGAAGGTAGGATGGTGCCAATGATGTTGTTCTTAGAGAGACCGAGGTATTTGAGTGGCGACATGGAGTTGATAACAAGTGGTATTTTTCCTGTGATCATATGGTTGCTGGCAAGGTCCAGAACATGGAGAACAGAGCTATGGTTCATCGTCAGAATAGCATCAATGTCAGAATAGCATGAATGTCTCCATCAAATGAGTTAAAGCTCAAGTTAAGATGTTGTAGTCGTGGCAAGCAAGCTAGAATTGGAGGGATCTGACCATAGAGCTTGTTGGCGCTGAGATCGAGCCTTCTGAGGAAAGTGAGATTGAATATGGAAGGAGGAAGAGGAGCAGCTAACCCGACAGAAGGAAGATCCAAGGCTATGACTCTGTCTCGGTGCTTGAAGCTGCACGTGACTCCTTCCCATGAGCAAAAGTGTTCGGTGGCATTCCATGAGCTGGCGAAAAAGGTAGAAGAATCCATGTTGCTTTGGTTCATAAACTGATTCTTGAACGCAACGAGTGATTCGTAGTCTGTATTATTTCTTCTAATTGCTAACAACTGTTTGGAAGATAAACAGACAGAAAAGAGAATAATTAAGAGTCTGATGACACTAATAATTTCCACCATTGAATAGCAGTGGTATTTATGCCAGGAAGCTAAGAACCTAACAAGAGAATAAGAGCTACTTCGTCAACTCTGCCTTCTTGAATTTATAAAAAGAAGGGATAATTGCAGGCATAGTACTTGAAACACTGTTATTTACAAAACTAATGGAATTCCAGTCAGCCACATAATACATGCATTTGTGGAATCACACTACGTTGAATTTTCTTCCTTAGACTTTTTTGAACGGAATGATGGTTGATCTACCTTCTTTTTTATAATGTTTAATACATAAAATTTTTTGCTTTTGATATCTATCATCCCATATACTTTTTAAGATATGTTATTAATTACAATTTACAATATAAAATTTATACAAGTATGAAATTTCGTCAATTTCTATGATAATTTATTTTTTCATCAAACATGAAAAACTTATGAAGGAACAAGCAGTGAATAATTTACCATTTTAAAATACTAATTTTGTTTGTTAATTACTTCTGATGAATATTTCAAAATAATTTAACAATAGTTGAATGATGAATATTTGGCCTTTACAGATCTTTAGAGATGCTTTCAAAGTTTGGGTGGTCTTAAATTAATGCATTCGTATTATTTATGTTGACTAAGAATAATACGCGACGACTCCTCAATCAACCAAATATTTAATGCAAATGAATAATGACTCGAATTGATCACATCATTTAGATGCTTCACGTCTCAGATGAGGTGACTGACTTTTTGGTTTTCATATCCATATTTCTATATAATTTTTAAATTTAATAAATATTATTAATCATGATGAAAAAATAATCAAATACTATATAAATACATTTTTTAAAAAATTACTAATTTTAATCATCCAAAGCATGAACTAAGAGATCATCAAAAACTCTGTGTTTAAGTGCAAGAGTTCAAACCCCAAAAAAGCTTTGATGTATCCACCTCTACCAATAGATCCAAACCAAAAGATAAAATAAAATACAGCTGTAACGTAAGAGCTATTCACAACAAAGGTACATGCATGAACTAATTGCTATGCCTATAAATAAAAAGAAACCACTACTATACCTCCCACTATTGTTCTCTCTCTCTCACACACACACACACACACACACACACACACATACACATACATAAATACATACATACATACATACATACATACATACATACTTACTTTCTTGAATATGAAAATGCAAAATATTATGTTATATTAACTTTGATTTGCATCCAAGGACATATTTCCAAATTAAAGGAAATTTGGTTTTATTTGAATCACTTAATAGTTCAATGAGATTTAATTATCAGTCATAATTGTCCTTCATAAGTAATTGAAGGGAATTAGTTAAGTATTATGTAAATTTAAATAAAACTAGAAAATAAATTTAATAATATTAAAGAACATGTAATGCAAAAATAAAGTTAAAGAAAAGCATATGAGCATCTAAGTATATATATTTAACATTTGCTATTAAAAGTTTAATGTTACAATTTAAAATACCTATATCGGTTTGCTTGATTTTACAAAAAGTCGGAATTGCTTAAGCATTGTGTTTTCACCTCAATTGATTAACTAATGACATTTCCAAGTCTAAGCCATTGATTGCTTTCAATTTAACATCGATCAGACTTTAATAAACTTGGATTAGAAAAAAAAATAACGAATCGTTAACATTTTAATCAACACTCTTTTGCTCTTTCCTAAACATCCCTTTCTTCTTTTGTAAACATTTTAAGATCTGTGATGTTGCTATTGATTTTATGAGAAAATGCTATTTTAAAGTGATTATATATATTTAAGCTATCGTTAAAAATATTATCAGTAGACCCTCTTCCAGTAAGCATCTCTAATAGTAATATTCCAAAACTATAAACATTTGTAGAGGTTGATGGACAAGCACCTTCTCCATATTCTACAAATAAAATGATAAATTTTTTTAGAAAAATATGAGTTAAACTAGCTATAATAGATTGAAAATAATGACATAATTATATAACATAAATAAGTGGAATCATCACTTCACCTAGGGCAATATAATAAATACTTTCTTTAATCTCACCTGCGTTGGAATAATTTCCAACATCGATGGATGATAATGTTCAATCTCTTTTTTAGAGAAAAAAATATCATCCCCATTAGTCTCATATTCTTTATGGAGCCACATATCAAAATTTCCCTTTGGCAAAAATTCAAAAAATCAGAGCTTTAAAACCTTTGCTTTTGTGAGAGTCACATTCAGATGTGAAACTCTTAAAAGCTCCATGCAGCTCAAGGTTAAAAACTTTAGTAGCCACAATTGTTCGATAATCTCTTAGAGTGCCTCTATAAATTGAGTCGTATCTTTCACATCCAACAAGAGATGAAGTGGAGAAATTATTTGTAACTTTAGCTTGTTTGGCATATGAAATCCTTGAAAATGAAGTGATTAAGGAAGTGCTCAAGGAAGAATCTAGTATATTCTTGCTTCTACACTTTGCTTTTGTTTTCTATAAAGTAAACCGCAGCACAACAAATGGAGTAATTGTGTGACTAATGTTGGGGTTAAAATTTTGATTAACTGATGTCTGCTTTTTTTTTTGTTGATAATGATCCGGGAACACATTTTGACAAATGAAGCCCTGATATTCCTTCACATATTTTCTTATTTCCAGCGAGAGAGATTGCCGAAGAATTTGCAAAGATGCCCCTATATGGCACCTCACCTTCAAGATTATTAAAAAATAGATTCAAGTACTTAAGCTAGGTAAGGCTTTATAGAATTTGAGGAATAGTCCCAGATAAATTATTATGTGAGAAGTCTAGTGTTTCAAGAAATTTCAAGTTTTCTAGAGAAATAGAAATGGAGCCAAGAAAGAAATTGTGGTCCATATATAATTTAGTCAATAATTGGCAATTTCCATGTGACATTGGCATTCACCACTCAAATTATTATTAGAAAAATCAAGTAACATGAGTTTCATTAAGTGACCAACTTCTAACAGTGGATTCCCAGTGAAGGACTAATAAGATAAATCCAAACGAATTGAAAGGATGGGAATGAAGCCACTCAACTATTATGGCTGAATTCTAGAGCGGCTAGCATTTGAAGATTTTTAATGCTTGAAGGTGTAGAGCCTGTTAACTGATTAAATGCTAAAGGATTACAAGGTTTGGAAAAGCTTTGGCAATATCACCGAATTCTCACCAAAGAAGCGATTCATTGATAATGAAATTCTGCACAGTGATGATATGTTGTAGAATAAAGATGGAATGTCACCTGGCAAGAAGTTCACACCAACATTAAAGAATTTTAGCTGACAAAGGCTACCACCAATCTCTAGTGGGATCGGCCCCTCCAAACGATTTTCAAGGACTTAGAAAGCTTGCAATAAGGAGAGATTGGCTAGTGAAGGTTGTAGCTGAGATCAAGAACTTGCAGCATCCAGTTATTGGCCATGAGAACAGCAGGAAGATAGCAGGAATTCCTATGCCTCTACACATCTAAACACCTAAAACGGTTTACTGTTTCTTAAATTTATACCACCCAAAATTTGGTATCACAGAAAAAAATATCACAATTATAACTTTTAGAAATTGAAATACACCTTTTCAAGCATATGTAAAATGTCATATAAGTAAAAGTTGTTGTTGTTTAGCTTTTAGATATGTAAATACATAGAAATTATGTGGTATCTATGTAAATCTTTTAAGAAATTTATTGCCTTCATGGACTTTCGGTCTCTAACCATACATTTCCAACAATTGACTTGACCTCAGTAGGAATAGTCTTAACCATACATTTCGAGCAATTTGAATGTCCACTTGCATGTGCTTCTAAGAGGGTATCGACATTAATTAATCTTTAGTTTTAAGAATTTGAGAACCATTGTTAACTTTTTTTAAGAATAATATATGTATCATCAAGAAATTTTTATATCTAGCACGAATTTCAATGTATTTTTTGAACAATAAATGATAAAATTCTCATCATCCAAAGCTCTGATTGTAGCAAGCTTAAAGTCAAGTTGGGCGTCTTGACAAGATGAACCAAGTGATACCAAAATTGGTCTCCAATCCGAGTCCAATCAAGCCTGCATGAAGTCATTGAACTATTTTTGGAGGTTTTAGATCGTTAATTGAATCATCAAACATACTTCAAATTTGACTTACTTATAATCAAATCAAGCGTCTCGACGAGAGGAATCCAACGATCCTAACATCACTTAATTTTGATGTCATTAAAACTCTCAAATCATTGAAAAATCCCTTTAATCAAAGGGGATCAATACAAACAGTTTGATCAAGTGGTTGTTGTAATTATTCATCGAATAACCTAATGCCCCACTCTAAAAGCCATAAATAGACTACTTCTCTTCACTTGAGGGGGAGGGGGAGTCGAATTCTAATGTTGTTATGGACCGAAAACTTGACGATAACTTCTGGATTTCGTAGCCGCCGACCACCATTAACCACCACCCGACAATGTCGTCAACCACTAAATGTTTCCCTTGCTTGCTATTACCTACAAACTCTGCTAACAAACAAAGTATCCCAAATAAAGTGTAATAATGTACTTCAAATGTAGTGTAATGAATAACACTGTATTGAAGTCTCAGTGATAACTATTAGCCTCTGTAGCCACTGAACACTATCGACCACCGTCGTCCGCCCTTGGATGTCGTTATCGACAAAACTCTTCAAGCTAAAGAAATATCATGAATACGATGTAATGAATAATGTTGTATCGAAGTTCTTGTGATAACTTTTTTTGTGACCACTGCTTATGACCATCGTATTCAGAATATAACGACTTTATCAGAATTGTCAAAGTTTTCTATGCATCCTATACTGATAAGTGATTTCTCAAGAGTAAAGTAGCAAACCCAAGAGAAGGGTTGCAACCACCAATCAGTGGAGCACCATCAATGGCTTATTTGATCAGTTACTATTGCAGCTTCTAACTACGACTTATGTAGCTAAATGATACTACAACTGTCGACAAAGACCTATGTGACCAACTAAAGACCTATGTAGCTAATTACTACTATAGCTTTCAACTACAATCTATGTAGCTAACTACTACTGCAGCTTTCAACCACGACCTATATGACCAACCAAGGCCTATGTAGCAAACTGCTACTATTGATTTTTGCTATGTCCTATGTGGCTAACTTCTATTGCAGCTACCATCCACTATCTATGTGATCAACTAGAATCCATGTAGCTATTTGCTACCGCATCTTCCAATTACATTTTATGTGGTTAACTGCTATTACAGATACCAACCAAGGTCTATGTGACCGACTATGTTCTATGTATCATATTGCTATTGTAGCTTTCAACTAAAACATATATGGCTAATTGCTATTGCAGTTATCAACTATCGCTTGTGTGACTAATTACAGCCTATGTAGTTAACTACTACTGTAGCTTTCAACTACGGTATTCGGGCTCACTAATTCTACCATAGCTACCAACCACGATCTATATGACAAATTGCTACTACAACTTCCAACTATGACCTCTATTTTTATTCTTTTTCTCTTTTTATTAGGATTCGCCAACTTGATTATCGTCGAATGATTTATCTTTTTGAGTAAATCTCTCTTCGACATCATATGGATTGTCCAGTGAAAAAAGATTCATAAAATAAAGAACATACAACAAAGGTAGATAAACATGACGAAGAATGTGGAGAACTTCGTAAAGTAAACTTCGTGTCATAGCCTAAGAGCATACATCCAAAATGTTATTATTGAAAATGCTTTGGAACATATACACAAAAAATCTCTTACAAAAGCAAACCACAATAAGAGAGACAAGTGTGTGTGCTTGTTCTGGGGTTAAGAGTAACACTCAAGGAATGTATCCATTTGGTTAATTACAATTTGGCAGATACCTAAGGATACTCTCGATTAAAGAAATACATCTTGCACTTTAGTGATGACTAGTAAAGGGTATCATAAATGATGGATATCTCATAGGAGCATCTCGACCCTTTCAAAGCTCTCGCTAAACCACAGGACAAAGAGCGAGTCTCTTACATCCCAAATAGGTAGCAGCTCATCAGCAATTGATGCCTATGAAATAACCAGGCCGACTCATAGGGTCCACACTATACTTTTAAGACTTAATCGAGTCATAATGGTAGAGAGTAAACCACTATATCACATTAAAAATATTACTACTATCTTTTTAAAAGTGAAATCCCTTTTTTGGCATAAGTTTATAACTATAACTATCAAAATTTGGGTGTAACATATAAAAATTATTAAGTAGTATGAGGTATGTATGTAACTTTTACAATGTTAATGAAATTAATGATCTATCTAGTAAAAAAGTGAGGAGAAACACCCATGCATTCCTCATGAATTTCTAATAAAAAAAATTGTTGCTTCTTCTAACAATTGAATTTATTTTAAAGTCAAAATTTATTTCACACATTTCCCTATGAAAATCAAATAAGTTGAGACTGAAATTTTTTAATTTATTTTACTTTTTAGTTTAGGTGAAAATTTCCTTAAATTATTTTCATGAAATATCTAGGAAATAATTTCTTTCTAAAGTTATTTAGAAATTATTATTATTTTTAAGCGAAAAATATTATTTTCTAAAATTTCAAGTTCAATGTAGATATTTTTTTTATAATAGTAGAAAACAATGTTTGAAAGTTTTTAACAAAACGAAATTGCAAGTCATTCATAAATTGATGTTGAGTTCTCACAAAATAGAAATAAGCTCTATTTATCATCATGCATCTTCCTTCCCATATTTCATCACATATTGAAACTAATATTAAAAACACAAACAACTAAAAGTTGTTGCTTCCACATACTAGCTTTTCTTCATGAATATATCATTTTCATCATATTGAAGGTACGTAAGAAACTCGAATTGCATTTAATTTTGCAGTAACATCTTTCATGGAAGGCCTTTCTTTTGGAGATGAAACTGAGCATGAAAGAGCTAATTCTGTCAGTGAAAGCAAACATTTGTTGGTGCTTTGGCAACTGAACCATCTTGGTTGTTCTCCACACCTGTTGCTAGCATCTCTTTGCTCTTTTGTAAACATTTTACAATCTACTATGTAGTTGATTCCATGAGGCAATGTCATTTTAATGTGATTATGTAGAGTTAAGTTATCACTAAAAATGTCATCGGTAGGCCTTCTTCCAGTAAGCATCTCTAGTAATACTATTCCGAAACTATAAACATCTGCAGATGGAGACAGGGGAGCTACTTCACCATACTCTGTAGATAAAATTTAAATATTTATTTTGAGAAAATATTTCCTTAAAATATCATAAATCTTTAAGAGGAAATGATATGATTAATTTTAACTTTGAGAGGAAGAATCATCACATCACCTGGGGCAATATAGCCAATAGTTCCTTTAATGCCACTTTGGTTGGAAGAAGCTTGAAGAGATATATTCACATTCTCATAAAGCATTCTTGAGAGTCCAAAATCACCCACATGTGCAATAAGGTTATTGTCAAGTAAAATGTTACTTGGCTTTATGTCACAGTGAATGATTGGTGGTTCACAACTATGATGAAGATACTCCAAAGCTTCTGCAACATTGATGGCAATACTTAATCTTTTTTCCAAAGAGAGAACAACATCTTCATCAATCTCATATTCTTGGTGGAGGTGTGTGTCTAAGTTTCCCTTTGGCATGAATTCAAAGATCAAAGCTTTAAACTCATTGCCTTGAATATCTAAGCTCGAGCAAGAACTTAGTACTCGTACAAGATTACGATGACGTATGCTTCTTAATGCATCACATTCATATGTAAAACTCTTCAAAGCTCCATGAACCTCAAGGTTAAATACTTTAATAGCCACAATATCATCATAATCTCTTAAGTTGCCTGCAAAAACAGAGCCATATCTTCCACATCCTACTAGGTGTGTAGTGGAGAAAGCATTTGTAGCTTCAGCTAATTTTGCATACGAAATTTTTGGAAATGGAGGGCTTATAGATAAACCAGATGTATTTCTTAAATCATTTTTCTTTTTTCTTCTATAAAGCAAAGTATAGCACAACAAAAGGATGAATAGCATAACTACAATGA